TAGGGTTTTTCAATCCCTACAACCTTTTTTTTTTTTTTTTTTTTAACGTATTTTTAGGTGTAAAAAAAATATTGAAAAATTTGGTCACGGACTGGGCCTCATTGGCTGCGGCCACGGCCGACTTTTTCGGCCGCAGCGGCCGAAATGCCCGCGGCCTAGGCCGCGGGTGTCACTTAGTCGCTCAACACTGGCGTCACTACCTGCACGGGGCACCATTCACAGTGCGCACGGACAACTCTGTTGTCCAAGCTTTTATGACAAAGCCGAAGTGGCGCGACCTATCCGAGTTTAGTTTCACCACTGAGCACATCAAGGGTGAGACTAATCGGGTCGCAAATGCCTTATCTCGGTGCCCTGACAATGATCTGGAGCAGATCCAGCTCGTTGCCATCTCGGTCACCACTGTCCACCACTCAGTGATCGACGAGTTTCGCACGCAGTACCGCCACTGCCCCGACTATCGGGACATCCATGCGACCCTTCGGAGTGACAAGACCCTCCCGAAGTACTCTCTCGGGGACACCGGACTTGTGTACTTGCATGGTTCACAGGGCACTAGAGAGCCCCGTATTTGTGTTCCCTCCACTGGACAACTACGTGTCCGGGCAGTAGCAGAGTTCGATGATCAGACAGCCACCAGTCATATGGGCTTCCACAAGACGTTGGCTCTTGTGAGCCGCCTGTACGCCTGGCCGAAGCGCAAGGACTTTGTGAAGGACTACATCGCATAGCGTCCCACCTGTCAGGAGTTGAACAGTGCGAACCATTTGCCTTATGGTTTACTCCAGCCTCTTTCTATCCCTGAGGGTCATTGGCAGTCCATCTCGATGGACTTTATCAGTCCTCTTCGGCCTCCGGCCCCCGCAGTTATGATGCTATCATGGTCGTCGTCGATTGCTTCACGAAGCGTGCACGCTTTGTTCCGTGCCGCTATGCCATTAGTGCACATGAGGTCGCCGACATCGTGTTTGACCGAGTCGTGTGTGACCACGACTTACCTCTGAGCATCATATATAATCGTAACCCGCGCTTTACCAACCGATTCTGGCGACGGCTCTACGAGGTGTACGACACGCAACTCCGCTTCTCCTCACCTTACCATCCCCGAACTGATGGTTAGACCGAGGTCACGAACAGGACTCTCGGAGATATTCTCCGAAAATTGTTCACGACGACCTGCAATGAGATCTCCATCTTGCCCACGCGGAGATAACCGACAACCACGCCGTCTCGCCGGCCATGGGGATGTCGCCTTACTATTGCGACCTCGGCTATCACCCTCGTGTTCCCGCAGACTTCCTTCGACCGTCACAGATGCACCCCGATACGAGTTGTCCTGCACTGGATGATTGGGTTGCACACATTACTTCGATCATGAAGACTGCGCATGAGCACATAGCGGCTTTCCAGACTCGCATGGCTGCATGCGGGAACCGATCGATGATGGATCCTCCATTCAAAGTCAGTGATGATGTGCTTGTCGACGCCCGCCACTTACAGCTCGAAGTGGACACGCTTCGCAAGTTTCGACGTCGTTTCTTTGGCCCATGCCGCATTCTCCAGGTCGTCGGTTCTGATACGGTTTCTAGCCCTGTCAACTTTCGTGTGAAGCTGCCCGACTACCTACGCCAGGCTCGTGTGCATGATGTCTACCATGTCCCGTTACTGCGCCCCTACTGCAGACCATCTCAGTGTTTTGCTGGACGACCATACGAGCGCCCTCCACCCATCATGGTGGACGACCACGAAGAGTTCCTCGTTTCGGACATCATTGGTCGCCGGGTCACCGGCGACAACTCTCCTCACGTCGAGTATCTCGTACGTTGCATGTTGGTGCGTGCCTATGACCGTGCTCGTCGTGCTGGGTTGACTGCTCCTCCTCAGCCCACCGACTCTCCTTCTCCCTCGACTGAGGAGACCGCTGAAGTCGAGCCTGCTCCATCTGAGGCAGACCTTCAGCAATAACCAAATGCTTCTAAGCGTCCACAACGCACTCATTGTTGTCCTGCTCGATATGATGATTGACTATGACTTATCTTCCCACGTCTTTGACTTCTCAGTACTCCATCCACTTTAGTTTTGCCACTTCAGCTCGTCAACATTGCGGTTCTTCCTCGACGACATTTCGGACTTCTCATCATGGACGTCATCGGCAGCTTCACGACCTTCGTCACGATCAGCTCCGCTTACTTCAGATGTTGTCACTCTCTTACCACCTTACGCTATACAGTAGCCTGGTTGTGTCGCATGATGGTCTCCCTTTGCCGGGTTCCTCTGAGTTGGGCTCTCCCTTGGTATACGCATAGGCATCGGGACCGTAGCGTTGCCCTGACTTCCCAACTTACGGATCTAGCTCTGACTTCCCTCACTTTAGGAGTCACTTGCATGATTCCCTTACCCATCACTTTTTCTACCCTCTGTCGGCCCTCCCACCCTATTTAGGCAGCCTTGCATGCTTTATCTAGGTGCGCCCAGTATGCCAGACTCCCTTATTCCCTTGCATGGTCAACCCTTCATAGCGGTCACCCCTTTAGTTGAGCATTACCCGCCCTGATGGTCTATCTGTTAGGATCATTGGTTCTGTTCGCTCCCAGTTCCCTACCCTCATTGAGCCTGATGGCATGTGTCTCCCTGTCACTATGTGTGGATGCCCTTAGGAGTTCATCGACCCCTAGGCTGCATTCGCCACCCTCAGAGACCATCCCACCCTTTGCTTGCGACACACTCCTCCTGCGACATATGGTTGTCTTGTTGTTGTTTTGTTGCTCTCAGATTGAGGTTACTGCCTCTAACATCTCTAGGATTTAGTTGTTTCTGCTTTTGCTGTTTTTATGACTTATACAATAGTCAGTTGTTTCCAGACTGAGGCTAGTAGGCTACTGCCTCCAACATTTAAGGATTTAGTTGTCATTACTTTCTGCTTTCCTATGACGTGTACCCTCGGCCAAACCTCCAATTACTCCGATTGTCGTTCGCGGGTACGGAACAGGCACTCGGGGTGTGAGGTTTGCACGTCACATATGTACCATATTTTTCATGATATGAAGGTGTTAATAATGGTAACTCTTCCAAATAATGACAAAAACCATATTTTTGACCAGGTGGCGCAGACATCTCTGATCTTGTGTTCTATGATGGTATTTTGCACGTCCGTGGAGTTACCGAAGGAGACTTGAATACCAGGTATCTTTCCGGTTCTAATTTAGGCTTGACTGGAATGCCTAGATCAATGGCCGGGGGTTGACCGTCGGGGATGAGGGAGACTGACTTTTGCCAGCTCACTCTCATCTCTGATGCTGCTTCGTAGATTGACAGACAAAGTTCCAGGTGTGAAAGAGAGGTAGAGGAATTATCAGAAATAGCGAAAAAATCGCCAACTAAGGCAGAAACTTTGATAGAGAAGGAAATAGTTATTTGAAGACTTGTGTAATCTGGGTGTTTTCAAACCATATTGAGCCGGACTTCTAACTGAATTATAAAGAGAGAGGGTGTCAGAGGGCACCACCGGAGAAGTGAACGAGTGACTTTTAATGGTGAGGACATGTGACCGTTGACTAAAACCCTACTTGATGAAGCACCATATAGGGCTCTGACCAGTTTTTGGAAGTTTTGGCCCACTCCCACTTTTTCCAGTGTGGCTTGGACAAAGTCCCAGTTCACTCGATGGTACACTTTATGGAAGTCGACGAGGATGACTATCTTGTTTAGGTTGTGATTTATGATCCAGTATATTGACTGAGATATTATGGTCATCACCTTGTCAAAAACCTGCCTGCCAAGTATGAAACCAGACTGGTCCGGATGTACTAGTTTAGTTAGGACGGGGTTGCGAGCAAGGGTTGCGGCTAGTATCTTACCGTTGACATTTAGTAGGGATATAGGTCTGTAGTTCCTTACGTTGATTTTATCTCCTTTGAAATCATTTCTGTATAAAAGGGTTATTATACCGTCCAACTGTACGTGGTCTTACCGGTTGGTCCGTGAGAATTTGGTTGAAGACCCGAAGAAGATCCGGTGCAAAGAGTGTCCAAAATTTAAGGTAGAACTCAACTGGCAAGCGACCTGGTCTAGGGCATTTGCCTTCGACCATGCTATTGATAGTAGCAGTGAGTTCAACAAGTGTAATTAGGTCTTCTAGGGAGGATGATTCCATGTCTGAGAGGATGTGATTGGTTGCATCCCACAACATACGTTCGAGTCGGGGGGGTATGATGGGAGAGTTCAGAAATTTTTCAGATGTTAGTGGTTGTTTGTAAAAAAGTCTGACATATTCACATAGGGACTCATATTCTTTTGCTAGTGATTGTGAGCGATCGTAAGGGTGGTGATTCGGGTGGAGTTGTGAAGGTGGTTGACAGTTGCCGCTATTTTGTTAGTTAACCAGTGGATGGAGAGGATTTTTTCAACCTGCCTGTGTGTTTCCCATAAGTTGTGGTGTCTGATCTGCATGTTCTGCCATTCTTGGATTAATCTGGTTATTTTCCTGTGAGTTACTATTTATTAGAAAAAAAAGCCTGTGGGTTTATTTTCAGTAAGATCAAGTTTCCTTTTTATCTGAATTTCTTCGTGTTTTCTATTTACCGCCTTGACACGGGATATGAGGTTGAGTCGGTTCGATATGAGGGACAAACCTTTATCCAGCCATAACCTATCTTTGTTGAAGATTGTAGTATTAAATCTCAATTGTTCCCATGTTCTCCATACCTATTCCACCACTCCCGGGTCCTCGAGGACGTGTATGCTCAATCAGAAAAGTCCTTTTCCCCTGGAGGCATGGGTTTCCAGGTTTAGCCGCAGCCACACCAGCATGTGGTAGTATAACATGGGATCGGTGACAGTCTCTGCTTTGTTCAAGTTGGTTAGTTGCAGTGCACTGTCGTTTATCATAATTATGTCTAATCTTCTGCGTGTGAATATTCCGTTGTCTGTTGGACTGTAGGAGACCCATGTACAGATGTGTGAGCCCATATGCAGAGAACAAGAAATGTTGAAGAGTGCATTATTTGACATGAAGTTATTGAGAGCTGCTGATTCGTTGGGGCAAGAAAGGGGTGTTGTGGAGTCTAGGTCCGGGTTTTGGACTGTATTTCAGTCCTCGCCTAATATTAGAAAGTTGGTAATCGGTATGATTCCAGATAGGGAAGAGAGGAAGGATGACTTGAGGTTGTGGTTACTTGGTACGTATATAGACATAAAGCACGAAGTTTGGTTATCTATGTCCAAAATGGTCCAACACCGGTTATTGATGGATCAAGATATCCATACCACCCTTGGTACCTTGGGCGGGAGGCCAGGTCTATGGACCACTCCACCAAGCTGGCATGAAAGCTATTCTTTCTTCTGAGAGTTTGGTCTCTTGCAACATTGTGATAGTTATCCTATGGGAGTGGATCCATGATTTGAGGCGAGCACGTTTGTGTTTCCCATTTTCGTCAATCGGTCCACGAACGTTCCATGAGGCTACTAATAGCCTATCGTCCATTTGCAGCGTTCGACTATTGTCTGTGTTAGATCGACGCAGGGAGTGATCCTGGACTGGCCATCAGACTCAGTACATCCCAAGGGAGTGTCGCCGATTCCAATATGTATCTGGAAACGATGGAGCGCTCTTTTGGGATGTGTTTGTCCAGGTCTGCAATTATGTCTCCTTTAATACCATCGCCTGGTGCAGGGTAGAACTATTCCTTCGTGTTGTTTTGCTTGAACCAGGCTATAGGTGCCTAGAATAGACCTTTGTCTACTATTGTTGGGTCTATTTTTGGGGCTTTAGCTGCCTCCAGGCACATGCTGAGAATAGGGTGCATTTTGCCAGTGTGTCCTTTTCTATACATTGATGAGCAGGGCATGGAGGGGACAAGTCTCACAAAGTAGCGCTTGTCTAGTGACCTCCTCGCCGAAGCAACAAATCGTTGGGATGTGGGAAGGTGGAGGAGGTGACCGAAGGGAGGAGCAATTCATTGTTGTCGTTTTGTTGCAGGAGCAGCAAGGTGGTCTGATTGGATTGTTTGACGATCAGAGGGGTCATTACATATGACGTCTCTTGTTGGGTTGTTGGTGCGACCGGGCCCAACAGGGTTGGGGATTAGAAGGATTAAGCCTCTATCATTTTGTCCTTTGTGTCAATGACCATTGAGTTGTGTAGGTTGCAGGTAGCAATTCTGCAGAGGACGTTTGTTTCTTACATGCGTCTGGGCCTAGGTTTTTGTCCCCCTCATCTATCGTAGTAGCAGAGTTGGTCACAGGAAGAAAGAAACCTGGCGCAAAGCATGCACCTCCAGAGCCCACCAAGTCTGACAGCGTAAATCCCTCGTTGGAAGAGTCAATGAGGCTCCATTCCAACTTTTCGGGGAGGGGTGGTTGTGTACCTTGAGCGGTGTTCTTACTCAGACTGATGCTACTGAGATGTATTGGTTAGGGGCCTGGGCGTGGTCTGCGGATAAAGGTGTTTTGGTACCACCGTACTTGTTTCTTTTTACTGGCTAGCTGCTGCAGATCCTGATCTTTGAAGGCAAAATTATCCCATAAGCTCTTCTTCTCCCCGTGAGGGGCAACTGTCAAGAGTTACTGTTGGAGATTCACATGAGGTGAGTATGAATTCATGTTGTTTATTCTCTGTCTGTTCCCATCCTCTGATCTGCACTCCTCAAGCGTATGACCGTATCTACACTTGTCATAGAACGGACAATCGTCCAGTTTGTGTCTGTGACTGTTGGACTGTAAGCACCGAGGAGTGTTGAAATTGACCAGATAAGCCAACAGATAGTCTGACCCGGTCCAGACTTTGAGACATGATATGAATCGTTCTTCTGCACTAGGTTGGAGCTGATATTTCAGGTTCCCTAGCTTGGGATCTTCCAGATCACCAATGAGATCGACTTCCTTTATCACCTTGCTCATGGTCGTTTCCAATCCAGTATTGATAAGCACGGAGGCAACAAAGGGGAAACATATAGCCATAACCCATGAGTTGTTTTTTTTTTTCGTCTTCTCTT